GACATCAGCTAGGTCCATTTGATCTTTGGTGTGATTTAGTTCTAGAGTTTCGTTATTGATTTTTTTGTTTGGATGACCTATCTATTGGTGATGGGGGGTATTAAAGTCTCCCACTACCACAGTGTTGGAGTCTATATATGCTTTTAGGTCCTTCAGAGTATGTTTGATAAAATTGGGTGTACTGATATTGGGTGCATATATTTTGATAACTGTTATTTCCTTTTGGTGTATTTCCCCTTTTATTAGTATGGAGTATCCTTCTTTATCTTGTTTGAGCAATGTAAGTTTGAAGTCTACTTTGTCCAAAATAAGTATTGCTACTCCTGCCTGTTTTCGGGGGCCAATGGCTTGGTAAATCTTCTTCCAGCCTTTCACCCTAAGCCAGTGCTTATTTCTGTCAGTGAGATGGGTCTCCTGTAAGCAACAGATTGTTGGATCTTTCTTTTTAATCCAGTTTGCCAAATGGTGTCTTTTGATGGGGGAGTTAAGTCCATTAACATTCACTGTTAATATTGATAGGTATGTGGTGATTCCTGTTTTTGTTGTTTAAGGGTTTGATGTGTGCAGTTGAGTTAATGTTACTCTCTGATTCCTTGTCTTTCCTTCTGTAGTTTGATACTGCCTGTCCTCTCATGGTTTTGCTTGCTTTCATTTTCTGTGTGCAGAATTCCTTGAAGAATCTTTTGTAGAGTGGCTTGGTGGTCATATATTGTTTTAGTTTCTGTTTATTGTGGAAGACATATTGGTCCATCTATTTTGAATGATAGTTTTGCTGGGTAGAGTATGCTGGGGTTGAAGTTATTTTCATTCAGTGCCCAGAGGATCTCACCCCAAGCTCTTCTTGCTTTTAAGGTTTCCATTGAGAAGTCTGCTGTGATTTTGATGGGTTTACCTTTGTATGTTACTTGTTTTTTTCTCTTATAGCCTTCAATTTTCTTTCTCTATTCTCTGTGCTTGTTGTTTTAATGATAATATGCCATGGGGTAGCTCTATTTTGGTCAGGTCTGTTCGGTGTTCTGGAGGCTTCCTGTACCTGAATGGGCATAGATTTCTCTAGATTTGGGAAATTTTCTGTTATTTTGTTGAATATATTATGAATTCCTTTTGTTTGTACCTCTTCTCCTTCTTCAATACCCATGATTCTCAGGTTTGGTCTTTTGATGGAGTCAGTGAGTTCTTGCATATTCTTTTCATAGATCTTGACTTGTTTGCACAATAACTCTTCAGTTTTTCCTTTAATTTCCATTTATCTTCAAGTTCTGAGATTCTGTCTTCTGACTAGATTTGTTTTAGTTTGCTGGAGTGGCATTCCATTGTGTTTTGTATTTCTGTTTCATTCTTTTTTCTGAGGTTTTCCATATTATGGGTCACTTCCTCTTTAATATTGTCAATTTTCATCTTTAATTCATTTATCTATTTATAATGGTCTCTGTTTGACTTTGGTGTTTATTTAGGGCTCCTATGGGTTTATTTGTTTCTGTGTCTTCTCATAGTCTCTATTTTTGGTGTCTTGAAATTTCTTGAGTGCCTCTTGTATGTTTGGTTAACCATATCTAGTAACATCTCCATGAAATTCTCAGTGATTACTTGCAGGATTTCTTCTTTGAGACTATTCTTGTGGGCTTCATTGGGTTCCTTGGCATTGTTTATCTTTGTTTTGTTGGAGTCCAGAACTGGGTATCTCTTTTCTTCATTTCCCTCTGAATCCTGTATTAAATTATTTTTGGGGGGAGAGTGGTTTCCAATCCTTTTTCATCTTCCCATCGCTCCACTTGGTACTGTGCAACTATGTTCTTGATAGGCTGGTTGGTGGTTTTAGTCACCTGTTTTCTTTCCCTTGGTTTAGTTTTGTTTTGTGGCTGTATTGGGTTTGTAGCTAAGTTTTCTGTCCCTGGTCTGGGTGTAATTTAGTATTTGCTAATTCACAATAGTAAAACTAACAATAACAACAAAAAAAACCCAAAGAAATCAAACAGGAAACAAAACAAATAGACTAACAAACAAAAATTCCAGGTCAAGAACAATGGCATTTCAGTCTTTAAGTTCTGCTGTTACTCCTCCAGCATCCAATCCTGGTGTTGGTATTTAAGCAGAAGCTCTGTGGTAGTCTTGCCAGGTGGTTGGGTAGTGTTTTTTTGGGGTTTTTTTCCTTCTGTCTTTCAAAGGCAACTGCTTGGTCAGCTCCTCCCTTAGTGAGATGTGGCAGTTTAAGTTTGTATGTTGTCCTCAGGTTCCAGAATCAGCTCTGTGGCCCACCAGCTGTCCTGCTTTGGAGTGGGTTTTCGCTGTGCTTGTTTACTGGGGGCTTGTTTCTTTGCCTCACCCCCTTTCTCTGGGGCAAGGTCAGTGATCTATCAGCTGGCCCCCTGCTGTCAGTGTGTTGTGATGGTTTGCTGATTGTTTTCAATTTTGCAGTGTCAATTGACTTTGGCTGTTGCTCACTGGCTCAGGAGATGAACTTTGTGGACTGCTACCTGCCCTATTTCAGGCAGCAGCTTATCACCCGCCTGCTGTCAGCCCTTCTGCCTTTCCAGTTGTTTGTTTACTGAAAGTTTGAGTGGAGATCAGTTCTTTGCCCCTCTCTCCTTCTCCAGTGCACTTTCAGCAGCTCTGTCCCTCTGCTGTGTGTTAGTTTTCAGTTCTTTGTTTATTGTCTAGTTTTTTTTTTTTTTCTGCAGGGGGGAATCCATCTGCCCAGGGGCTATGCTGGTTTATCCTAGGGGTGGCTGGGGGAATACCGTGTGATACTTGGCACTCGCCTGTTTGGTCTGCTGGATGTCTCCCCAGCAGGTTTGGAGATAGCATCTGGTGGCACAGGAGCCCTCCTGTTTTCTCAGTGTAATGTGGCGTGGAGAAACTTTCCATGGGCCAGGGGTTCACAGTGTTGAAGTTTTGATTCTCCTTTCTGCTTTATTTTTGCCAAGTGTGGCTCCAGCGTCTCAGCCAGGTTTTTTGGAGTCACTGAGCTCATGCTGTCTGCTTCTGCACCCTAGTTGCCATCTTGGATCCTCCTCACTAGACTAATAAAAATTTTAATCTGCTAATACCAAGTGCTGGTAAACGTGATAGAAGTGCAAATTTTTACAACTAATTTGTAAAACAATATGGCATTGTTTCACAGGATCTAGCTAGCAATTCTACTCTAATTTTAGATACTAGACTATGAACAAAATGTTTAATGAAGCATTACTTATTGTAATGTGAGAAATAAATGTGTTTAAGAGGGTGGGTGGCCTGGCACTGGTGGCTCATGCCTGTAATCCTAGCTACTCAGGAGCCAGAGATCAGGATTGTGGTTTGAAGGCAGCCAGGCAAATAGTTCATGAGACCCTATCTCAAAAATACCTAACACAAAAGGGTTGGTGGAGTGGCTCAAGGTGTAGACCCTGAGTTCAAGCCCCAGTACTGCAAAAAAAAAAAAAAAAAAAAAAAAAGATGGTGGGTAAATAAAACGGTAGTATGTTTATATAGTACTATACAGCAGTAAAGAGGATGAATTGCCAATGTGCATAATATAGCTATCCCTCAGTATTTGGAGGATTGACTCCTCAAACCCCTTGAAGATACCAAAATCCATGGATGCTTGTCTCTTCAACAAAATGCATCTGCATAGAACCAATGCACATCCTCCCATATATATAGTGATCTTTAGATGACTTATAGAAATTATAATCCTGTATTCATGGTGTTGCAATGGTTAGAACATATCTCCCAAAATTCATGTGCTGAAACTTAGTGGTCAGTGTGATTGGCCAGGTGTAGTCTTTAGGTAATTAAGCTGAGGGTAGAATTCTTATGGATGGGATTAGTACCCATAGAAAAGAGCTCCAGGGAGAGTTCTATCCCTTTCTGCCATGAGGATGCAGCAAGGTGCCATTTTGAAGTAGAGACCCAGAAACGTTCCTCCCACACATCAAACTTGCTGGTGCGTTGATCTTGAATTCCCCAAACTCAAGAACTTGTAAGAAATAAGCTCTGTTGTTAAAAATCTGCTCATTTCATTATAGGAGCACAAGTGAACTAAGACAACCAGTTTCATCTAGTCCCATACAGCCCCTCCTGTAGTAGCTAGCTTCTGCATTAATAAACTGCCACAGGATCTTCTTCACTATTGTAACTGGCCTCTGCAGATGGAGAACCAGAAAGAAGGGCTGGGGGTAGTGGCACATATCTATAATCCCAACTTTGCAAGAGGGCTGTAGGTAGCTGGGTCGCCTTATGAGGCTAGCCCCAGGCAAGAATGCAAGACCCTATACAAAAAATGCTAAAGCAAAAAAGGATTGAAGGTGTGGCATGGCTTAAGTGTTACAGCATGGACAGCAAACCCCAGTACTGCCAAACAACAAAAAACCCAAACAAAGAAACTTGAGGGGCTTTCATTCCCTGTTGTTTTCATTCTCTACCTATCTGGACTAAAATCATAATATGACATCTTTGTCAGTCAAAGGCATTTTCTTTGAGTGGAGAGGTTGAAACAATTAGGACCTGGTGATCAGACCACCCTGCAGACTGCCAGTCTACCTACCAGGCTGTATTGAGCCTCTGTCACTTCCAGGTTCACTTCTAGATTGTAACTGTTCTTTGTGCATCTGTGAACAGCATTTTACCATCTACACCAACTCTTCACTCAGGTGACAAGATCATTTTCTAATGAGGAAAATGCTAACCTTTTGTGGAATGATGACCTAACAGAGGAGAAAACCAAGACCTCAGTAAGGACTTCTACTGTCTTCAGTAGGCAGCTGGTTGTGAGGAAAGTGACTTGGCTGTGTTCTTCTCAACCTGCTGGCCAGCTCTCATTCACTGCTGGTATGCCCAAGCTGGCCTGGCTTTCATGCAGGTCAGGACTAAGACAAGAGACCTGGGATCAACCCAGGTAGCACCAGGGCAGCAAGGGCCTGGAGAACTTGGTCCTGGTTTATACCCACAGACACACTTTCCAAATACAGTTTATTTTGTGATTGCACACTGTGGAAGTCTCAAGTATCTGTCATCATGCAAAGAAGGATCTCAAGAATTTTATTATAAAACAGAATAATGACAGACTAAAGCTTACACATTAATATATACATTATATTCACAATATATTACAGCTTTAATTTATGAACAGAAATATCCTGCTGCTTCCTTTTCTTTTCTTTTTTTGCATTATTGATTTGCATTTTTACCTGATCTTGTAATTTAGCAAAGAATGCTTGAGATGACTTTAAGGCCTTGTCTTTTCTTTCATCCTGCAATTAAAAACAATACATGTTTATGTTATACATTTACATGTGAGGAAACTCCCAAATATAACGCTACTTTATGATTGCAGCAATGAATATAAATATGAAAACTACTATGATTACCAAAAACTAAGTTAGTTAGCATAAAAAGATTTTCTATGCATTCTGTTATTGCAACAGCATCCTTGTAATTAAGAGAGAAGGGAGTAAAGAGAATGCTGCCAGCCACAGGAAAACATCCAGCTAAAGGCCACAACCCTGCTGTCAACAGCGTGCTGCCACCCACCTCTCCCCACAGGCCCCACCAGCGATCTTCTCCACCCCTCTTACCTTTAATAAGGACACTTTGCCAGTTTTGGTCAGCTGTTTCAGTTTCTCTGAAGCCACTGCTTTCGTGTATTTCCCTGCTTTATCTGGGTTGTTCTTTTCAAGCGATTTTCTCCTCTTCTCCTTCTCCTTTATTTTCAAATGCTTTTGATATTTCTTTTTCCTCCGTTCTCGTTTCTTGTCTGTAGCTGTTTTCTCAGCAGCTGTTTTTAGATCTCCAGCTTTATTTTTCTCCTATTAAAAAGCAACCACCAGCATACCAATTAACCTACCTAACATCAAGTCAGTGAGTTGGAAAACAAGAAACTGCATGGTAGTCAGCCAATAGGCTGCACATCTATGGCCCAATATGAGAAGATGCAGGGTAATCCCCACTTACAGTTCAAAGAGGTTTGGTAACTCTAAAACCTGGAATGTGTTCTTGGACAGAACACACTCACAGTGACATTTCAATCCCCAAACGAATTCAGAGGCAGCCTGAACAGCTAGGGGGAAGTCTATAGTACTAGCCAAGCAAGTTCTCTCTATAGCAGAGTATAGTATATGATATACTCTCTGCAGCATGAGCTTCTGGGAGGTGCCTGAGGCAGCCTCAGCTCTAAGCTGCTAAGAATAGCCCCTGGGCCAGGACCATGGGTTCCCAGAGACCAAGGAACAGAGGGAGAGAAGGGAAACCTCTCTCCAGTGAGGATCAATTTCCTCTTTTCTAGGGCTGTCACCTGCACCAACGTGACAGAGGCTCTGACAGGAGAAGTAGCTGCAGGTGTAGCAACACAAATGAGAAAGAAAAAGGGCCTGCTACTATGCCAGCTAGGAAGACGCAAGCCTGGAAGAAGCCATCACTTCTGTGTAAAGTGTGAGTTTCAATGTTCATGAAGCAGAGACTGCCAGCATCTGGTGTCTCCAACCTCTTCTGATAGCCAAATGTTCCATTCTACTTCAGATTTCATTGCTGATAAGCATTACATGGACAAAAACCAGGGGCAAATGCTGTAGTAACGTACTGCTAGTATATAAGTAAAATAAAGTTTGTTTTAAACTTAACATCACTGCTGGTATTCACACTGGATTTTCAAAGATTTTTAATTGCATATTTAAAAACTGCGTTTGTACTAATTTTCTAACTGCAATTCATGGTAATGCCTGCACAAGATTCTGGCCTTTAAATATTGTATAATAATTATTAGTTTGATTATGTAGTCACCTGTTAGTGTTCACAGGGTTTGGTTCCAGGACCCTGCAGATATCAAAGTCCCCACATGTCAAGTCTCTTACACAGAATGAAGTATTTGCATATAACCTACACACACCTCCTTGAACGCTTTAAATCTCTAGATTACTTACACTGAAGACAGTGTGAAGACTATGCAAGTCGCTACACTTTATTGTTTAGGAAATAATGCCAAGAAACAAAAGTTTGTACATATTCAGTAGAGATGAGATTTTGCTTTTCTGAATATTTTCAATTTGTGGTTGGTTGAAGCTATGGACGTGAACTCATGGATATGGAGAATGTACTATACCTAGAAACTTTTGACAAACATTAGAATAAAAGGAAGATGACATAAAATACAGACCAGACTATAATGAACCAACTTGCAAGCAGATACTGAATGTGTCAACATTGGCTTCTTACCTTGATTTCCTCTGGAGCCAGGAGAGCCGCATCGCTGACACTCACTGGGGCCACCTCCTCCATGATTATGGCTGGCAGATTGGACACAACTTTAATCTCTGGTACAGGCTAGAAAAGGGACAATGTATTTAATGGGAAGTCAGAAGTGGCCCTAACAACCCAAAAAATATCTAACGGAGATTACTGAGAACGTTAGATGTGCTGACAGTCAACAAGGGGTGATTGGAATGACGGCAGGGCTGGTGGCAGCATAGCTGCCTCTGGAACCCTAGGAGAGCCAGGTAATTTAGGGTCATTTGCCTCAAAGTCATTCCAATAGCTCTTATTTCTATACCTCTGCATGATATTTCTGCCATATTTAAATATGAGTTCTTTCCTCTGTTACCAAGCAGAGAGTGGAGACAGTCTAAAAAACAAAAACTGATGGGTGACGTTGGGTAAAATGGAGTCTGCAGAGATAGCATGTGAAATAGACGTGGATATGAAAAAATGAATAGTAACGAGAACCTACTCTGGCAATTGACACTTCTGAAGAGAAAAAAGTAAAAAAGATTATTAAATCGAGGCAAGCAGACACAAGCACATTCACTCTCTTAATTCCCAAGACACCTAAAGAAGGCATGAGGGCTCCACCGTGTCAGGCCAAGCCAGTGTGAGGGACTCAGAAGTAAAACTGTGGACATATGTTGTGCCAGCTTGACAAAGAACCACTAGCCAATGACCTCAAGTATGCTGTGGAGCAACGGGGGACAATATTCAGGGAGGAAGATGTGGCAGACTGCTCAAGATAAGGGTGGGGAAAGTCTGCAAGGAGCAGGGAGGTGTGTAGCCTAAGAAAGGAGCCAGCTGTGCAGAGGGAAGCAAGATAAAAATGTGCCTGGAGGAGAGGGACTTGTCCTGCTGAAGGAACCAGAAGACCAGTGTAGCTGAAGACAGCAAGCTGGGGAGGCCAAAGGAGCACTGAGTCAGATCACACAGGGTCTGATAAGGCTTATGACCTTCATCTCAGAAAAACTTTCATCATAAGACCTGCTGGCTAAGGAGGATTGAAAAATCCTACTCATGTCATCTGTTTGATTCCAGGCACTTTGGGAATCTAAAAATAATTCCTGCCATCAACAACTTCTTTGCATGTATATTACACCTTGGTTTAAAAACAAATAGAACACATAAAACATGTAATAAAAGCTCACTATAGGTACGGCAAAAATCATCTAGAAAGGATCTTGGGAGTGACCTCTCCTGTAGAGATGAAATGATTTGCCCAAATCACAAAGCTAGTCAGGAGCAGGAGGAGACTTGGGTTTTTCATTTCTGGATTACTCCTTCATTCATGACATTCCATTTCAGACAACACCACAAGAGATACCAAAGAGCAAGAGCTGAGAAAGTACCACAAAGATGTTTCATGGGATCATGGTGGTGAGGAGGAGATGAAGTTTCACAGAGTAGGCAGGTTGAGTCCAGACTGGGTAAAATGCAGACAGACAGCGGGAAAGGTTTAGGCCTGGACAGGGAGCATGATGCAGTGGAGAAGGCATGGGCCCACTGTTGCTTCTGACCCACCCACCTCCTAAGCCTGAGTTTGTTCATCTGCAAATAAAAAATAGTAATACCTGTCTGGATATTTTGGGCATTCAGAGTTAATGTATGCAAATGAGTTATTAGGGTTCTAGACTCATTACACAATGAAAACACAACTGAGAGGGTCAGAAAAGGAGAAGCCACTGAGGTAAAAAGCTGAGGGTCTGCCAGGGGCTCACTGGAGATAAGGATGGATCAGTATAGAGGAGCCCAAATTAGCCAGGAACCAGAAGTGATCCTTCTGGGTTTATTTACAGGAAATTACCAGCAGTTTGTATCCTGACACTAACTAAACAGCTAGTCTCTCGCAAAAGGTCAGTCATGAAGGTCATGTCTGTTCTAGCTGCACAATGAACTGTTAACATACGTACCGGTTTAGGGATGAAGTGGAAGTTTGACAGGGCATCCAATTTTAAGAAGAGAGAATCCATCATCTTTTGAATTTCTACATGCTCTGGATTTTCTTCTTCTGCTGTTTTTTGCTTAAGAAATAAGGACAACATCAGACTATGAAGCTTATCAGCCTAGCACAGACAAAATCATACACAGGCCAATGAGAGTCTCCCCAGTTTCTCAGCACTATGGCTTTAGCTACAAAGAAGTATTCTAGCCAGGTGAATGGTATATCCTATAATCCCAGCATTGGGAAGGCAGGAAAATCCTGAAGCTGTGCAATCATCCTTCAATGACCAACTTGGGTTACAAGGCAGCCGGAAGAATTTTAATTTATATCTTTCCAGTTCTACTTCCCAGTGGCACTAGGGTACTGTTTGCTGTTGCTGCTTGCATAGCTTTTAATTAACAAAATCTTACAGCAAACTTACGTAGCTTTTGCAGAATTAAAAGGTCATTGCACCCCTAAGCACATTCTGACCACATTCCAATAAAGCCAATGTGAGGGAACAATTCAATTGCTCAGTCCTCTGGGAACAGGACCTTGTCCTGCTATTTAACCAGAAATTACTTTTAGTACTTAAGAAAAAACTAAAGATCAGGATGAATTCATGATAAAAAATGTATCAACAGCTCTAAAATATCAATGTTTTTAAAACTATAATATATAATAAATGCTGGAAAGTTAATAACTGGCTATACAAATACAAGCTGACAATGTCTGGTTGCAAAGCCAGCCCCCAATCCATACTCCCCTGGGAATACTAGAAGCCCTCTATTCCTGGCATGCTTACTTTCACAGTCAGATGAAGTGACTGAAGAGCTCAAGATTTGTTTCTGGATTTCAGCAGTCGTAACAAATCTGGTCTTCTACTCCTACTCCTTTAGTAATAATAGCTTTGCCTTAGCAGTCTCTCCTTACCTGGTTGAGTTTGATGTATTCTTGTTCATAAATTTCAGCAAGGCTCAATTTACTCTTCTCATGGTCTAACGTTAAACGTTTTTTATATTCAAACGCATCCTCTTTAGGTTTTTCTTTACGAACTACATCATCCCAAGCCTGAAATGTAAAAGGTGAGTAGAATGTAAGTTAACAAAATCAACAATTTACTTCTAGGCTCATGTGAGAATTATAGCAAAATAAAAAAGTAATTTTCAACTTCAGAAATGATTATTCAAGTAAAAGCATTATGAAAAGCAAAGACAGCATTTACTCAAATATTCTTTTGTTTTAAACGAGTCTCCTGATTAACAACTTTAACATCACATTTCCTCCACCACTGTATTTAGAAGTCAAGCTTCAAGTTTATCTTGTCTCATTTCAAATTTTGAGATACTCTGAATATATATATGGTGCCTTCCCCCTTTATACGCCTTTATTATACAGGCAAACATTATACACAGGTTATAAAGTTATCTCTTGCTATACAGGTCACAGAAACCTAAGTTCTTAGATCAATTCTTTTACAAAACTTCTTTGCTAGGTTATTAACATTTGAAAAGATATACCAGAAACTGTGCCTCGACCAAGGTGTGATCACTCGAAGTCAGACATTGGTCACCAACCCCAATACTAGTCTATTGGTCAGCAAGACTCAGGGGGGCAGATACTGACAATGGCTTCTGGTCACTCTTCTCTTCAGGCACACCTTTCTTATACAAGTGAAGAATGGTGCCTCAGTGAAGCTAAAGATACCCTTAGTCTACGCTTAAGGCTATTTAGGAATAACATTATTAAGTAAAAATAAAAAGAGCATTATTCCTATTCCTTAAATACTCTCATACTCTTTCTAAAACTTTCAATGAAATTTAAATTAAATTCACCTTCATTCTTACTGACCTGATCTTGTATCCTCTGCTTAATGATATCTTCTAGTTGGAGGGTGGTTTCCTCTGTGATCACAGGTGCTTAAGGAAACACAACATGCATTCATTAGGAACATACACACTAGACCAGTGATTTTCAAATGGTGTCCTTGGACCCACAGCATCAGCAGCACCTCAGAGGTTGATAAACATGCCAATCCCATACCTCCTAAATCAAGACAATGGGGAAGGGCAGTAGCTATCTGTGTTTTAATAAGCCTTTGGATGTTTCCTCAAGTTAACTAGAATGCATATGGTGGTAAGTGCTAACCCTTCTCTCCCATGCACCTGGGACTCTTTTCCCTCTTTCCATTCTCTCTTCTGTTGAAATAAAGTGGAAACTCATTTGGACTTAATGAGTACAAGAATGAATTTGATGAGCTAAATAACCAGGATTTCAGCCTGGAGTTCACGATTTAATCAGTGGACTGTGATGAAATGCAAGCCTTTTAAACAGAGCACTGTAGGAAATCAAATGAGGGGCCGTACATCAGGTATCACTAGCATATCGATGTCAAATCTCTTGGGTGGATGAATGGTATTGTGGTAATATAGTTCCATGTTTTAGAAGAGACACGTAAGAGTACTTATGAGTAAACTGCTGGCAGCTTATTGTCAAAGGACGGGGGGAGGATGGAGGGCGGGGCGGGGAAGTCACACACACAATCACAGATGCATAGGGGACAAAAGGCAAAGATGGGAAGACTGATGAAATCTAGTTGAATGGCATATAAATGTTTCAACTAATTTTTCAACTTTTCTGTACATTTGCAAGTTTTTAAAAATAAAGTTAGGGGAGAACAGACACTACATGAAATCTTTCTATGAAACGGACCCCTATTAAAAGCATAGAAACACTTTGCCGAAGCCCAGCAGGCACCATACCCATCCGCACAGCATGGTCGAAGTGCAGGGTCTCCTCTAGGAGGCTGTTTTCTGGCCGCTTCTGTGCTGTCACTTCCCCTTGAAGCTGCCAAGGCTTTTTTTCCATCAACTCTTTTTCTAAAGATGCAATTTTTTCATTCATCTAAGAGAGAGACAAAAGAGTTATTGTACATATATTTAGGAAACAAATTTAGACTTAGAAAAAAGTAGTATTTTAAAAAGTGGAAAAGGAAGAACTGGTTTGCTCTTCAATACAATATTTTGCTCTTGCCATCTTTTCACTGTGCTAGTGACTTTCCATTTCCTCTTGCCTGAGGCAGGCTGAGCTGTGGAGGACTGTTCCCAGCTGATGTGAAATGCCATGTGTATAATATACTACATTCCCCAGAAGCATTTTCTACTCAGAGTATCTATCTATTCACAAATACTATCAACTTTTTATCTCTAACTTCAAAAAGACAACTATAAAGATTTTAACATACAAAATACCACTTTTGCAGCTACCTTATAGAATTCTCTATTTTCCCTAATAGTTTGTTCACTTATCTGTTAGATTTTTATACTACCCTCTGCAATTATTAATGCTTTCATTTTAGTTTTTCTTACCTTTTCCTTTTGGGGCTGCACTGGCTAATACTTAAAAGAATGTTAAATAACAGTGGTATATGTAATAGTAGACATTTGGTATTATTTCTGATTTTAAAGGGATGTTTCTAGAATTTCACCATTATGGTTGATGGCAGCTTTTGACTGAACACATTTGTATTTCACTGAGTTAAAACACAGGAATGAATATTAAACTTTATCAAAGTTATGTATAACTGACCTATATGGAGCTGACCATATGGCTTTTCTCCCTAACCTTGTAAAAACCAAGGACTCTGTCAGGTTTCCTAATATTCAGTCACACACCCCACAATGTTGCCCATTTGGTTTGTGCATTATTTTCTCATTGCAGTATTTTGGATTTTGTATGAGTATTCAAAAACTAGACTGTGTGCGCACATGTGTATCTTAATGCTTGGTCGGGTTTAATTTTTCCTGTTACAACAGCGTGACAAGAAAAACACTGGGAGTTTTACCTTATTCTTTATATGTGGTACCTGATTAAACATCACATTATGTATTTACTGAAGGTTTGATTCCACAGTAAAACCAAACCTTTTTCTTTCCTTTATTTGGGAAAGGCAGAAGTAGGAGGATATTAGGACACTAACTCATTACAAACTTATTTCCTCTTACAGTGTTTTTTTATTTTAGACTTTTTATCTCTTCTGGTGATAATCTGACAGACATAGATTTAAGTCAAATTCTCACTTTTAAATAACTTTTGATAATCTTGGTATCTTTATCTGCCTATTTTCATTTCTATGATAAATGACAGAACATCTATTAAAATTAAATGACATTTCATCTGCCTAAAGTCATGTCATGAGAAATAATTTCTATAATTAATTAAACCTGAGGCTTTGTGGCACCCACAGGAATTCTTTGTGGAGTACCTTAGAAATACATACATATCTCAGAGCAGCTGAAACAGCTATAAGGAAAGGCTCACAGGACAGCTAAGTAGGGGAAGACATGCCACAGGTATGAAGACATTAGGCACAGAGGAACAAGCAAAGGTTTTACACCTGGGTTCCCCACTGAAAGCCAAAGGAAAGGCAGACACCAACATCTCCAAATGATTAGGTGTTTTCACGTGGCATCTATACGCAGTGTTCTTTAGTGAGCAAAACTTTTGTTTTTGAGGGATGGTTAGTAGTTCTAACAGAAAAATAGAGTAGGTTATTTAGTTTGTGAATCACAGTCTATTAAGCATATAAAAAAGTCCTTAAATTCCAAATAATTACCTTCTCCTGTCTTTTTTCAAAAGAAGATTTAACTTCATCAGAATCTTTCTTTACATTTAACACATCTCTATCTTCTGTTTCCTCATCATCTGGCAAAGCAAAGGTCACTCTTTTCAAGCCTTCTTTATGTTGCTTACCATCTTCACTTTCTTCAAGGTCATCATCTTCATCCCTATCAAAGGAAATGCAACACTTTCCACTAGGAATGGAAAACCAAATTTCCCACTAACAAAGTTCTTTTCTATACCTGTTGCCACCAGATATTCAGAACTTCCAAAGTCAAGAAGTTATTAAAAAAGAAAAGCAACTGTTTAGATAAAATGCTAGTAATAAACAGAATAAAAAGTACCAAAACATGCAGTTACATTACTCATTAATCTGTACTACAAAACTCTCATTTCACAAAACAAAAAGAGGATTTTATTGGCACAAAACCCAAATCAAAGCTCCTTTCTGGTAATGAAGATTGGATGGTTACTGCCAATGAGACTTTTTCTCATTAAATAAACGATCACTAACGTCCCTTTAAATTCAGAGGCTTTCTTCTGGTTATCTTGAGACTGTGTTTATTGGGAATCTACTATTTGATATAAGAGAAATATAAGTGTCTTATATGTGTGTACATACATGACTGGGCAACTCCAGCTCACCATGTAAAGGATGATTTGAATTACTCACATTTCAGAAATGCTTTCTTCTGCTTCTTCAGCTACTTCTTCCTCTTCGTTTGAACCCAGCTCACTGTCAATACTTGCTATGTCTTCATCACTTTCAACTGGATCAAAGAAATCTTTGTATTTCAGGTTTCTGGAACTTTTGCCTGACTAAAATAAAAACATTTAAAGATAAAAAATACGTAAAAAATGCTTTGTGTGTATGTGTTTTATGTGTGTGTGTGTGTGTGTATTACACACATACACCCAGACTTCAACACTACCAGTCAAAAAGTTACTAGGGGAACTGGGGAAATAATACTGTAGAACCCTAACAACTTGAACATGACTGACTGGAAGTACAGATCCATTTGTATTTATAATGGATAAAATAAGGGCAAAGTATTTCATGATCTCTAAATTTTTGAACTATAATTATTTCTCAAATACCTTTCCCCTTCACTTTTTTTGTTTGCTTTTTTGAGCCGCAGTCTCACTATATCACCCAGACTGGCCTCTAACTCATGATCTTCTTGCTTTAGCCTCCCCAGGGCTGGAATTATAGGCTTGCATAACCATGCCTGGCTTTAGTGTTTGATGAAAATACTATTTGAGGGACAATTCTGAATATCTCTAACATGTGCAATTATGGTTCTTAGGCTATAGTAACAAGAGAAGTATATTGTGACATAGAAATAATGGCTTCAGTAATTTCTCCAGTCAATTATTTTCAATTGACTTACTATTTTACTTGTGCCCTGTTGAGTTCTGAAGCATTTTACTTAAATCTCTCCTAAGGGAACAGAACAACATCTAATTTGAGAAATTATTTGAAGAAATTATTTTCTCCTCTTATCTCAAAACTTTACCTTACGTTTTTGATTTCCAAACAATCCTCCCTCATCTTCATCAGAATCAATGTCTTCAAACAAATCAATATCTTCCTCCTCTGCATCATCATCCTTTTGTTCCTCTTCTTTTTCTACTTTTTCTAAAAAGGTCTCCATTTCAGATAGTTTGAAGAATTTATCATCTACTATTGACTTTTCTCTTGGTTTCCCAGGCAATTTATTTTGCATCTTCTGCTGCTGTTCCAATTTGCTGATGTCAAAGTCAAGGTCAGAGTCCTCATCACTGAAAACTGGGCTTTTCCTCTGACCAACGTTGCTTGAGACTTTTGCTCTCTCATCCTCTTTAGGATCACCACCCATACCTGACAGTTCCTCCTCCTCCAAATCCTGCTCAAGGTCCTCCTGTTCATCAGCCTCAGAGCCATCACCTTCACACTCCGGTTCTTCATTTTCTGGGAGAAGACTGATGTCTTCATCTTTAATTGTTTCACTCACTGCATTCTGGAAATATCGTAAAGCTGGTTCATTTTGCAGTTCCAGTTGTTGCCATATCTGCTCATCATCAAAATTGTTTATCACAAGTTTTTGTAAAGGACTCCCAGAGAGTCCACCGTTCTCTAGTATTTTATTGAAGTCATAAAGAACTTTTGTTAAAGAAGTGAAGTTTGATGCTAATCCATCTTGAATCCTATTGGGGAAGAGGATTAAGTGATGTAGAATTATATGTAATAACATCACAACATTAAAAGAAAAAGTCCAACTCTTATGCAAAGTAAAATATAATAAAGTTTCAAGTTTAAGTACAAATTCTGACTCCCAACAGTGCATATTTTGATGATTAACCAGACTGATATATAAAAAGTGTCAACTAAGTATCTGAGTTGGCTGTAGATCTACAGATCTATTTATATAAACTGCCTTAAATTCTCAGCTCTTTTACATTATTTATCACTCCACTGATTCAGTCAGAGGTCAACTTTTGCTTTAGCTAGAGAGGCTGGGGAAGACCTCACTGAGGATGTGTATCTGAAATGAGACCAACAGATAAAGAGACTGTTTCAAAGCTCTGGAAACTTGTATTCTGGGCAGAAGAAATAGCAAGAACAAATTCTCTAAATGAAAATGAGCTTGGAGTGCTTGAAGAACAGAAGCCATAGCTGCAGTGTGGTGTAGAAGGCAGAAGGTGAGGATGTGGTTGGAGAGGCTGGGGAAGAGTCAAACAATGTAGTGTTCAGAGGTAACACTTTTAAGTGTACTGAAAAAACATCAGAAGGTTTGAAGCCAACTAATGAAATGATGAATGGAAAGATGACCTACAGAGAAAGAAGAACGAAGGTAAAATGATTAGGAGTTGGATGCAGCATGACAGGCAAAAGATGAAGGAGATTTATGTTGGAGTCAGAGCACTGAATATGGCAAATAGAGTCAGATTCCAATCAGAGACTAGAGACAGAAATGACAGGATTGCTAAAGGTGTAGGATAGAAAATATGATGACATCCCAGAAGCAGACTTCTTGTATCTTTGATTAACTGGAATGACAGAAATGCCGTTCACTTAGTGAAGGTTTGCGTGGTGGAAATGGGGAAATGTATTCAGGGGAGAGCAAAGTATAGGTAGATTAAAAAAAAAAAGAAAACGGTTTTATTTTGGACATAGGGAATTTGAGCTCCTGAAAGTATGTAGCTTCTGTAGATGCTGTGAGTGTAGAGTTTAAGGGAGAGGTCGTGGTTCAAAATATAAATCTGAGTCATTAATTTACAGATGTCATTTGAGAAGGAGGGGAGTCTTGGTGGGGGGCGGTACTGGGGTTTGAACTCAGGGCATTCGCTTGCTATGCAGGTGCTCTATCACGTGAGGCACACCTCCAGTTCATATTTTCAATAGTTTGATGATGGGGTCACAGTTTAAAAAGAATAACCAACATCAGCTATGGTGAGATGGGGGTGTGGCATGCGCCTTTCGGACGCTAATAATCGAGATTAGTTTGATTTCAATAGCATGCAACTGGTAAACATGCACCGTACACTTTTCAATTTTTAATAATTTTGATAAGCCATGGAACATAAAGTCTGAAATTTGGGGAACAAATCATCTATACTTCCCCATGCTCCCCTCCAGAATTTGCCGGAGGGCTGCAACGCAGGCCCCTGAGACCTGAGCGTGGGACCCGTGGGTCTCCGAAACAGGGTCCCGCACACTTACGTGAGGAAGCACTCGGGCCGGCTGGTGGCTTTACCGATCTCCCTCAGACACCGCTCCAGGGTCCGTCGACGCCAGACCGGTTGAGACATGGCTGTTCTCAACTCCAGGAACCGCGCCGCATGCAACAGAAGGGCGCTGACAGGAAACCGCACGACGTAAGACGCGCCCTGTGGAACCAGGAACTCAGAGCTAAAGGTTCCGCGGCACATAGGTTCCGGACCCACAACCTCTCGGAACCAATAGCAACACGAGGACTTTCACTGGACGTGCGTAGGGAGGCGGGACAGGAAACCAAAAAGTTATTGGTCCGTCCAAGCTCCTTTGCATTTTCTCCAAGCGTTTCATTTTGTTTTCCTGTGGGGGCCACAGTAGCGAGAGCGTCTCGCTTTATGTTTCCGCCTCAGATATAGCAGGAGGCTTGACATTGTGTTGTAACAGAAGGCCGGGCCGCTCCCAGCATTCTTAGGAACGTAGTTACGTTTGCCACGCCCCCTAGCGCGTTTGTCCCCGCCCCCTCGGCCTCGCGCCACGCCCCGGCCGGGTTGCCCCGCCCCTTAGGCCGTTTCCTTGCCCACTCTGCAGCGTGTCCTAAGTTAGTGAGTCGCGATTCCCAAAATGTCGCGCGTGGTGTATGCGGTAGCGGCGGCGGCGGCGAGAGCCGTAGGTGAATACCGGGAGCCGTCACGGTCGCGGTGGGGCCGGGCGTGCGGGACGGGAAGCCGAGGGGCGGAGGAGGCCGCGGGGCGGTGGAACACAGTAGCACAGCAATGACCTCCTTGTCTGTGAGTCTCGCTGCCGCCCAGGGAGCTGTTTGCAGTTGATGTCCTTTTTATATGTGTGCCAGAGAGAAGGGGGAACCTGCCCGGAGGGGGCAGGTCAGACAGGGACAGAAGGAAGTGAAGTGAACGCGGGAGAGACTGAGTGTTGTTTTACCTCACCTCATGAGAGACGGGGGAAAAACAGAAGAGAGGACAAGTCCTGTAGAAGGCTTGATGATTCCAAGCATGTCCAGTTCCTGGCTGGAGACACCTGATGGTCGATGGTGTAAAGTGTATGAAGGGAGCGTTTTACCCACGTGCCCTAATATACTAATTATCTTGTACGTAAACAAGAATGATAAAATCGGAGGGATTTGGAAGTTCCTTGAGTACACGCTGCCTCTGTTGTCATTTAGTAGCTAAGTAGGATCAGTGATGGCAGATGTTCAGGTTTTCTAACGCTCTCACTTTCTCCTTTTTGTCTTCTTCATGATGAGGGCATTTATTACCCTTAATCTGAGATTTCCTGTTTGGAAAAAGTGCAGAGTGGTAATGGCCCAGGGTTACTCCTGAATGTGTGCCAAATCCTTCATTCAGCTAGCTCCTTTGAAAAGAGTTGAAGGGAAGGAATCTTCGTTAATACCAGATTTCTCTGCTAAAAAGTGCTCTCATTCCACCTACATGACCTATAGTCCAAGTCATCCTTTGATGTTCCATCTCTAACTGAATTTGTTCCCTTTTTTTTAATCCCCCCCCCAGCTTTTCTCACAGTTACAAAATTTCTTAGTTCATTTAATGTTACAAGTCACCAGAGCTAAGTGAGGAGCCACATACAAAGAAAAAGTGCACCCAAATAGGTGTAGGTGTCTCGGCACTTAATTAGGTTAAGAGAGGTTGTGTGTGTGTGTGTGTGTGCATGTTTGTAAAAAATATAACAACAGACACCACAGTTGGCAAAATGAATTTCTAATTAACAGATGATACTCAAGTTTTTCTTCCTTTTTTTTTTCCATTGGCACTGGGATTTGAAGTCAGGGCTTCACTCTTGCTAGGCACTACCACTTGAGCCACTCCGTCAGCCCAGATACTCACTTTTTGATAATAACAGCCCTATTGGTCTTGTTAGCCTTGGTAAAATATAAGTCATCTTACCTCACATACCTTTGCAAGTTGATCTTTGCAAAAACTCATAAAACAGAGTTGTCGCTTAGCAAGCTATCTCTTAGGAAGTGTAGGTAATTGTTCATACGGTATCATATCATATCATATCATACCAATGATAGAAAAGACTGAGAATCAAAAGAATTGTAACCGGATGCCAGTGGTTTGCGCCTATAATCCCAGCTACACGGGAGGCAGAGATCAGGAGGATCACAGTTCGAAGCCAACCCTGGGCAAATAGTTCACGAAACCCTATCTCAAAAAACAAACAAACAAAAAAACCATCACAAAAAAGGGCTGGTGGAGTGGTTCAAGGTGTAGGCCCTGAGTTCAAGCCCCAGTACCATTTAAAAAAAAAAAAGAATTGTAAAGGCTTACTTAGCATGTGCAAGGCCCTAGGTTCACCCCTCACCCCAGCATGAAAAAAATGGGGAGCAGTTTCTGCAAATGAGAGTTTAACATCAACTTTGATGTTGGACAGACCTGGACTGGGGGCCAAGAAGCTTTGCCACTTGGTGTGATGTTGAGAATAATGACTTAGCCTCTGTTAGGACTATTTTCCTCATTTCTAAAAATGAAGAACAGTATTATCTATAGAATTATTGTGAGGATTAAGTAAAATAACTCACCATTATAATGATTATTACCATTATCTTTCTTTCATGGTCATGAAGAGTAAAACACAGAGTCATGCTTTTGTCTCATGTCCTCCCACTTCAGTGTTTGTGATTTCACAATTTAGTTAAGCAGAATTACAGATTTAGGCAAGATTACATGGTAGCATAATTCTAACAATGAAGTAAACCCACAGGTCTGCACTGGAAAGATGAGGTAAAATCAGCTAGCTTTTTCCCATAGGATTCCATCCTGACTGATGATAAATCCTAGCACCTGGAGAATGCCTGTAGACTATTGGAGGCATATCAGCATTGAGCCACCTTGTACATACGGTTTTTTTCCCCCACCATTTTAATGTTTATAGACTCACATCTATAATCCTAGCTGCTCTGGGAGGATCACAGTTTGAGACCAGCCCAGGCAAAAATAGTTGGAGAGACCCCATCTCAATTAATAAAAAGTTGGACATGATAACATACTCCTATCATTCCAGATACATGGGAAGTGTAAATAGGAAGATCATGGTCCAGGATGGCTGTACACAAATGCAAGACCCTATTTGAAAAATACCTAAAGCAAAAAAGGCTTGAGGCATGGCTCATATGGTAAAGTGCTTGCTTAGCAAGCACAAAGCCCTGAGTTCAAACCCCAATAACACAAAAAACAAACAAACAAAAAAACAATGGTCATGAGCCATGTAGGTGAGTTGAGGGTTATAAGCAACTAATCTTTAACCCAGAAAGATTATAAACCTTTATTTCTATATCAAAAAAAGAAAGCAGAATAAACTCTTATTAGCAAAGTAGAGGATATTAGTAGTCATTAACTATTCAGATACTACCAACAATATTCTTAAATCAGAACCTACATAATAAATTTTCCTGAGTGAAGGGAAGTGAGTGGTCTTCTTGTCATAAAAAATAGTAGTAAACTGTAAGCTAATGAATGAGGCAGTAAATACAAAACACTGTGCTGAGGCATTTGCCAAATACAAATTATCTTAGCTATTGAACGAGATTGTATCATGAGTGCGGTACTGTGAATAGGGGAAGTGTGCAGTAAAATTGTCATGGGGTCCTTTAAGAGCATAGAATGGATTAGCAATCAGATGATACCTTTTATAAGCAAGTTATTAACCTTCCTGAAAGTGCCAATGGTGAGAGTCCTTGGTATCGTTTGGTGCTAGGCACTTTTTTCACTAACCTCATGACCCTCCTGTGAGATAGATACTGTTTTCATTTTACACACACACACACACACACACACGTGTATGGAAACAATTGCACAGAGATGTTGAGTAACCAGTTCAAATGACACTAGTGGCAAAGTGAAAGTTTGAACCAAGGCAGTTTAGCACCAGAGCCCTATTCTTAACCTTAAGCTGCACTACCTTTTATGCAATACGTAACCTGAAATCCAAAGGTGAAAATATGTTACAGATTGTGTGAACGTTCCACAATTTTACAAATACACTAAAAGGTACTGAATTGTACCCTTGAAATGAGTGAACTATGATATGTAAATTGTAAATCTGTTTTTAAAAACCTGTTAAGAAACAAAACAGTATTCACAATTTTATGACACTTCATATACAAAGTTAACATCGAATTTCTTTTCATAGCACCCTTACAGCATTTGAGTATAAACTCTTGTGCTAAACCTTTGGTTATTTGAAATGCTAAATCTGAAATGAAAGAAAAGCAATACTATTTTTAAGTCAGTATAGTAAAAGTGATTAGTGAGAATATGGTTAATGAGAACCAATACTAAAGGAAAGATAGGAACTAAGTTAACATACACATCAGCTGGTGCTGGTGGCTCACTCCTGTAATCCTAGCTGTTTGGGAGACTGAGATCAGAGGATCAAGGTTCCAGGCCAGCCGGCAAAAAGTGTGGGAGACCCCATCTTAACAGAAAATTAGCTGGAGATGGTGGTATATCTGTCATATCAGCAGTAGTGGGAAGCTTAAAATAGAAGGATCAGGGTCCTAGAGTGGCCTGGGTAAAAAGGAAGACCTTGTCTCCAGTATGACCAGAGGAAAAAGGGCTCAAGGAGTAGAATGTCTACCTAGCAAGGCAGTTCAAAATTCAGTACTGCCAAAAAAAAAAAAAAAGAGTTAACATACACCAGATTTTGTAACATACTTATCAGTTGTTTACCAGATTCCTGATTTAGCTAGTTTCTTAAATTTCTACCCCTTTGCATTCAATTTTTTAACCCTCCTGTATTTTATATGGCTGTTCACAAAGCTATACGTTGTAGTTTATTTATATATAAAGTAACCGTATTTGAATAATGACAAGTTATACATTGTGTATACAAAGTTAGCCTGATTATGGTAATCATTTCACAATGTGTATGTATAACAAAACTGTACATTGTACATTCCCAATAGAAATCATTTCTATTTGTCAATCATAACTCAATAAAACTGGATAAATATATATATATTGAAGTTATATGTGTATATATAATTTAAAGCGCTGAATTCCCTGTTCCCCACCCAGTTTGCTTGGTCACCCACTGAATTTCACTGCTAGAATCATCTCATTCTCCTCCTTTCCTCTTCTTGTTCTTCTTCCTCCTCCTCTAGGTAAAGTTCACATAACATAAAATTAGTGTTAAAATGTACAGTTTAACAGCATTTATTACATTTTCCATGTTGTACAACTCTCACCTTTATCTAGTTCCAAAACATTTTCACAACCCAAAAGGAAACTCGTATGTATTAAGCAGTCACTCCAGACCCTGGCAACCACTCCTCTGCCTTTTGTCTCTGTGGATTTGCCTATACTACAGGTATTTGATGTAAATGGGATCATCTAATATGTGATATTTTGTGTTTGGCTTCTGTCACTTAGCATAATATTTTCTAGATTGGTCCATGTGTCAGTACTTCAGATCTAGGTCATAGTCCATTGTATGAGTATAAATGATATTGCATCATTTGTCTGAACATTTGTTACAAGTTTTTGTTTGAGTTTCTATTTGCAGTTGTTTGGGGGTACATTAAGAGTGGAATTGTTGTGTCATATATTCTGTGTTTAATTTTTTGAGGACCTATCAAACCCATGACAGCTGCACCATTTTTATCAGAAATATACAAGGTATCCAGTTTCTTTAGTACTCATCCACATTTGCTATTTTTCTATTCTTGTTGGTGTGAAGTAGTATCTCATTATGGATTTGATTTGCCTTTCCTTAATCATTAATGTTATTGAGTATTTGATGTGTTTGTTCGTCATTTTTATATACTGTCCCTTCATTTTAAAGAAATCGAATTGCTAGATCTTCACAGGTATCAATCATATTTTTCTATCCAGTTTATGCTTTTTAGAGACCAAGTAAAACCAATACAAATTGACCTTGCCTTTCTCAAACAGTTACCTTCTATAGATAAGACAAATCTAGGTAGCCTCAAAGCCTTAATTTTTATAGCATATAAAGATGCCTGCTGTCTTTTATCCTGCTAACATAATAAAGACTCTTTTTCCCGTTAAAGGAAAGAGAACCTGTTCTAGGGAACCAAATGCTAGAATGTTGGAGAGAAAAGCTACAATGAAGCTTCCAATAACATAGTTGCTTGGCCTCCTTTTTAGTGCCAGAGGTTTTGAAATGTCCCTAAAGCAAACTGTCATAGGGTATCAACCTTTGCTTTTACTTGGACACCCTGTAGCTTGTTCCTTTGGCATTTCCATATGTTCCTATTGCTGACAATAGCTGCCCCATCTCTTGTAGAGTTAACTCTGATGAGAAAAATTCAGAGACACCTGAACTCAGCATTTGCTATTGCCCTTAAAGTTTCATAGACAAAACAAATTATTGATGTGCATGCTACCCAAAAGTTCACTGACCCCATCTATCTACAGTTTATTTAAATACGGGTACTGTCGTTATTGAATATTCATTGTAAATTGCACACATAGTAAAGATGCAAAGAAAGAAGGCAGGAGAAGCTTGATCAAAGATTTAGCTGGTTGATAGCATTTGTAAAATTCATTTTCACCATGTCCTCATGAGATAGGTTTGGGTTATCCATAGAAAACTCTGCCTGCCATTCATCTAGTGAACCATCACTGTAGGTCATTAACAATAAGAGTGGGTGGATTTGTTGTGCACTTACTATGTATGTCTGCAACTGTATTATGGTTTTGGCACCAAGTATCTAATCTTTACAATAAAACCAGCAAGTTAGATATTTAGTGAGTGGTACTAATGAGTTTTAAAAATGGAGATAAGATAGAATAGAAAACATCAGAGCACATCACTGAGGGTTAGGTGTACTTTTTATGGAGTTCAGTTTTAGTTGTACATTTATGGCTACATATGCTGGGCTTTAATGCACTTGGATTTCATAATAAAAGAGTGAGTTCATAGACCCTGATTACATTAACCTATTGCTAATGAGAACCTTTGGGGCATAGCCTAAGACTTTCTGAGGCTGAATTTTGCCTTCTACTGATTATAATGGTCTTAAGTGAAATAGTGTTACTTTAATTTCCTTATTATCAAAAATTTCAGTTAAGGCTCGGCATAGTGCTTCATGCCTATAATCCCAGCACTCAGGAGGCTAAGGCAGAAGATCACAAGACTAAGGCCAGTCTGGGATATAGTGAGACCCTATCTCAAAACAAAAAATTCAATTAAAGGGATTTTTTGTTAGCCAAAGCTCTGTGGTATTAGGAAATGTTTCAAGTGGTTCTTATAAAAGCTAACCATCTAGTACTTAAAATATGATTTCATCTTGCTATTTCATACTTTTAACTAACTGGTATAGTTTTGCATGACTATATTTGATTCATGCATGTATATAATTCTCATTCTGGAAGTCTGTCTGTTAGAGCCCAGTGTTTAGGGGAGTGGGGAAGTAGAGTAACATGGGGGAGGACCATCAAGATCTTCAGTTACTGAATGAAAAGGGCATCTTCACGTAGAGAAGTTCTGCCTTCAGTCCTTCAAAATTATAAAAGGAAGTAATTTAAAAATCTAGTCTCACACTATTCATAGTAGCCAAGATATGGAATCAGCATAGATGCCTTTCAACAGACAAATGGATAAAGAAGATATGGAATATTATTTATTCATAAAGAAGAATGAAATTATGTCATTTACAGGAAATTGGGTGGAACTGGAGATCATATTTTAAGTGAAATAAGCCAAGTTCATAAAGACAGATATCACATGTTTTCTCTCATTTGCAGATTCTAGACACACACGCAGCATGAATATCAATGTGGGACTGTGGAAGGGATGAGCAGAAAGGGGGGAGAGAAAAAGAATAATAGGCGCTGAATAATGCCCAAGTATGTTACATCTTTGTATGAAGATGGCATAATGAAACCCACTAAAAACTTTAAAAATGGGGATGGGAAAAGAAAGATCAGTGCAGGGGGTTAATCTGATCAAACTGCTGTATGTCCATGTATGGAAATACCATGGTGAAACCCCTTTGTACAATTAATATGCACTAATAAAAATCTGGTCTTAGAAGAAATCCTCCTAAGTTAAGTGCTCCCTTGATCTTTGCTTGTTTTTCACCCAACAATTAGATGTTTTCCTTTGTTGATATGCATATAAAATTCACATTTAAAGTGCTGTATAGATAGTCTTTTCATGAACTTATTACAAAATATAAAACAAAAAATGTGTATAGGTAAGGAAGAAAATTGCTTGCTCTTATCATTATGTATATGTCATATCACTGTCACCTTCAAACTTGCCCCACTGTGAAATGCAGAGATTGGTGAATAATTCTTATGTGCAGCTATCCTTTAAGTTTTACCAGGAGCTACTCAAGGCTCACAATTAGCTGTTTAATTCTAGACAAATAGCTTTTTATATCTTGGCAGAACAGAGTGAATAGTTTTGGTGTAAGTTTTCCACTTATCTCTCCTGATTTACTTTCAATAATTTAAAAAATAGATAGATAAATAATTGATCTTTACATGTGTTGTCTGGATATAAAATTAGAAGGGCCCTAATTTTCAATGGGTGTTGAATTTTTCAGGGTTTTTTCCCAGGCTCCACACTCTACTTTCAACAGGGAGAGCTTTCTCCACATCACAGTCCTTGCATCAAGTGGCAGGACCCGTGTGGAGCCTGGGTCGACTCAACCATGTGGCTATTGCAGTGCCAGACCTGGAGAAGGCCAGGGCATTCTATAAGAACATTCTGGGGGCCCAGGTAAGTGATGCGGTCCCTCTTCCTGAACATGGCGTATCTGTTGTTTTTGTCGACCTGGGAAATACCAAGATGGAACTGCTTCATCCACTGGGAAGTGAGAGTCCAATTGCAGGCTTTCTGCAGAAAAACAAGTCTGGAGGAATGCATCACATCTGCATTGAGGTATTTCTGTAATTTTAATGTTGGTGTTGTAACTCTCTGCTTAACAAAGTACCTTATCATGGTATTGTCATAAGAAGCTTTTATCAAGCTCCTTAAGGAGAATGATAGTATTAGTCCTTTTCAAAGGTGAAGTCATATACATATATATGAGTATACATGTACATATATGTATATGATCTATGTGTATATATACGTATATTTACATATACATATATATTCTCTTTCCCTCTAGACAACTATAGAAATAATATGAATGTATTTTATTGAATGTAGATTCAATGGCCCCTGAATTGGGTAAAACATAGAGTCTTTGCTCTGGGACTTACTGATCATAGATGACCTCCCATGTAATAGGAGTCTAACTGCTTTCACTATCATAAGGCAATTAGAAACAAGTGAAAAGACTTTGTAAGTAAGAACTTCCATGCACATGCCAGGGTCTTTTTTGTCATTTGATGCCGGGGATTGATGCAGGGCCTCACACATGCTAAGCACATACCCTACATTGAGTGACACCTCCAGCCCAAAGTACTCTAATTATTTTCTGTCCTTAAAATTCTAGTAATTTGTTCCTCATTACAAAAGCAATACATTTTCAGTTACCAGCTGTGACTTTAATATCTTCTAAATTGCATTTGCTAACAATTTCTGAGAAAACATGAAGAAATGTTAGATAAGAATATTCTGGTTAGAGACCTGTAGATATTCATGTTCAGATAACTGCCTTTTAGAATACCAGCAATACCAAGCAAGCTTCAATTTAAATTAATTTGATAGGACAATTGTTTTGCTAGAATCGATGGCATAATTAATAGTAAGTCCTTATTCCTAATCTGGAAGAAAGGTGGGAGGTGCGTTGATGATAGAATGAAGTCAAGAATGTATTCAGATATGAGAAACTACAATGTGTAGTCTAAGTACATGGGATTCAGCACTGAGTTCTTACTCCTGGATCATGTCCACAGATAGAAGAGACAGATATTTAAACAAGCAACTACAGTACCCTGTGGTAAGTAGAATTAACAGACGTGTCTTCTCAGTCACACAAGGGAGGGGTTGATTACTTCTGGCAGGTCAGGGAGCTGGGATGGTCTCATAGGCATAAGTTACAATGACTGTGAAGGAATTTTCCAGATGAACAAGAGGAGAAAGGTATTCCAGGCAGAAGGGAATGGCATGTTGGAAGGCATAGAGTAATCATAACAGCTAGCACGACTGAGCTCTCTTTGGCAGAATCTGAAATGCTCTACCTGCATTATTGTCTCTAATTCTTACAGCTACCCCACAAGGGTGCTGTTGACTCCACTGACAGGTGAGAGAACTGACACTAAGTTAACGTGCCCATGTTGGCATTGGGTGTCACTGGCCTAACTGTGCAAGGCTGGGCTTCAACGCAGATTTGTTCTAATTCTAGAACTTCCAGTTATCAGGCCAGTTGCCCTCACTCTGTTAATGGAGTTTGCAGTTGGAGTGGGGGATGTTAGACAGAGATCTATACAAAACCTCGGGTTACTTTTTGCTTTTTGCTTCAGGTTTTATCAGTAGACCTGAGAGTTTGTGTAAGCCCCCCAGGATGAGAACTAGGACCATCTGCCTTTGAATCTACTCTCCTTCCTCCTAGACTGCATGTCTGGGTTCCACATCAAGAGAGCCCGTGGCTTCAAAGGAGGCCAGCTGTGAGTTAGAAGTCCAGTTAAGTGGGAGTTCAGTAAAGTAACAGCAAATTCTAAAGTAGAGATCAAAAGAGGGAAATGAAAATGAATATGAGTATAAAATGAGGGTAAGTAATAGGACAAGGTGTGAAAAGTGCTTAGTTGCTACTTTAGTGTGACACTCATCTGTCATCTTTCTGCAACCTCCACAAAAAGTAAAGTAGTTTAACTAGATAGATCTTATTTTCCTGTTTTCAATCTAAATGTGCAATGTCCCAGCAGCTCTTAATCTGTAACACATGGCTTTCAGGAATGTTCCAGGCATCAATGTTTACCAGCAAGAGGGAAGGGAAGGCTGAGACAGAATACAGACAAAGCACCTTTAAGCTAGACATTATATCTATCACTTCTGCTCATATCCCATTAGCCTGAGCCTAGTCACATGGTGCGTGTGGCTGCAAGGGAAGCAGCGGAATGTAGTTTATGGCTAGGCAGTTGTGTGCCTCACTAAATCTTGAGAATTGCTGTCATTTAAAGGAATAAAAGAAGGCCCTCAGTCTGTGCCACACATGGTACCTTTCAAAACATGGTGTTGCCAGGATAGCATGATGGTCTTTCTGACTGAAGAGCTGCTGTAAGATGGGGACATTTATTGTTCTTTTTCCCCAACAGTGACAATCTGTGGTGTCACAAGATGAAGGGGGTTTAGTTCCCTGACCCAGCAGGTGGAATAAAATTTCTTACCTTCCCTTGGACAGGGAATACCTTTTTTTTTAATGAACCTGTTGAGATTTCAAGTTTCATTATGTTACAAGAGTGTAACTTGGTCTATTCTAGCTAATACAACTTGGGTCTGGAATTGTCTTTAAAAGTACAAAAAGTGATAGCACCAGTCAGAAAATATTTCTTTGGTCATCCTTCGAGTTACTGTTACCACGTAGCAGTAGCATTCAACAAACATTTCATTTGGTCAGGATTTTGTTGCTCAAGATGTTATGGAGAGCTCTGCTGCATGGTTCTTGCTTGGGACCTCTCAACGTGGTGACAGATGTCAGAGGTGACTGCAGTGGCGTCCCAGATGCCCTGCCAGTTGATGTAGGCTCACAGTTGGAAGCTCAGCTAGGCTTCCAGCAGGAGCACCTACAGATGGCTTCTTCAATTCCATGAGCTAAGAGTAGTTGATCTTCTTACTCATGAGTTGGCTTTCCCAGGGTGAGTATCCCAACAGGACCAGGCAGGACTACATGGCCTCTTTGGACTAAGTCCCACAGCAGAACATCTGTTGTTACATACTGGTCAAAGGGAGATTGTAGGCTGGTTAGATGCAAGGGGAGTCCCTAGATCCTGCTTATTAGTGGGAAGAGTAGTGAAGAATCTGTGGTCACATTTTAAAAGTGCTCAAACCATCAGTACATCATTGGGTTCTGAGCAAAAGGAAAACGTGAAACTTCTTTAAAAAAAAAAAAAGAAAAAAAAGCTCTGGTTTTCAAATTGCCAGAAGCAGGAAGTAGGGACCAGCAGCATTCTCACACACACACACAAAGCAGATACAACCTATCTAACCTTTGTAAACGTAAGGAAGGAGACTCAAAATTATTGGTACTTCAGCTTTTTCTAATGTTTGGGTCATAGGCACCATTCAGAGATGTATTTTTTTGTCACATGACTTTCTCAAACTTGACCACTACCAGCATCCCAAAGAATGGCTCATACAATTCCAACGTGGTGAGTGAAAGGGTTTAACAGGGTAGAAGACTATGGAGAGCTCCATCTGCCCAAAGTCTCCAAAGTCACCAACACCTTTCCTCCCAAACTTCTATTTCATAAGGCTACAGTGGAACTGATCCAAAACTGGACTTAGCCACCTAGCATTAAAGCAGCGAAGGTGCCTACCAGCTTAGATTACAAGGCATAAACAAAGCAAGCCTCTGGGAAAGCTGTGTGCTCCTGTGTACTCTGCCCTTGCTCTTATTGGGCATGCTGCTGTTTCAGCAAACACTATCTGACTATGGGAAGGGATGGCTGTGTTGTGTTCCAGTCTGGCACACAGAATGGTGAAAAGGTAGCTTGCTGTAAGATGCAGTTACTCTGACTAGGATTCAGAGGACTAGTCTTTGCCCACAATTCTTTTATAGCTTTATAGTTTGTTGCCATTTATTTCATAATGCTTTTATAAAGGTAAATCCACCTATTGGAGAATTGTCTTTCCTCTGTGATTTCTCAGGTCTGTTATGAGGATGTTCCACAGCTTTTAGTTGGCTTAACAAAGATTTTTAACAACATGTCCTTTTTCTCATACATGCTTAAATCATTTTAAGCATGTTTTCATCATTTTTTTTCTTTCTTCTGTCAAGGTTAAGTTTTGATTTACATTTTCTCTTGTGAAGTTTACCTAAATGTCTATGTTCATGTCTTGCCTTTCACTTGAAGTATAAAAATCATCTTGTTCAGTTTCTTGTCTTGCTCATATATAGACTGAGTTGTCCTCTGTGTTCCAGCCCAGCTTGCATTTGCATGCCTTTCTCTGCCTTCTGTGTGAAGGAACAGCTTCTGGTGTTGAGTAGAACCAATCCTGTTTCCATGAGATAACTTAGCCAGACAGCAAAGTATGTCACTGTGAAAACCTAAAGAGAACCACTGGAAATATTTATGTATTTTATACATTTGTTCTGAGGTTGCAAAAATATTTAAATGTGTCCATGCTAGTTGATTAAAAGTTTCTGCTTAAAACTCCTAACATCCCTCTTCTAGAAGGAACCTTTAGGAAACCCTCACTCCCCACCCAGTTCAGCAACTGGTACCTAGCATGCAGTGGTCCTCTTGGGCTCTATTCCCGCATAAAGTTCCTAATATTCTGTTTAGTCTTTGTCTTTGTCTATATTTTTCTGATTGTTAAGTATTTTCAGCATCACTAACATTCACCATACCAGGTGCTGGGCATGATTAGTTGAGCAAAATATTAGGTCCCTGCTGTTGTAGATCTTGTCTGCTTGCTTCATTTATTTACAAATACCCTGCATTTTCCATAGAAGAGGTAACTAACTGAAACATAGCCTACAGGATACAAAAGGACAAAAAGTCATTGTGCAAGCTAGAGCAAAGATGAAAATCTGGGCCAAATAAAGCTAAGGTAAGTTCATTATACCTACTGGTTCTGCCAAATTCTACTTTCGAGTGGTCAAAACAAAAAGTGAAATAAATGGTAGGAAGAGTAATTGTGGCTCCTTCCCTTCCTGAAGATGTTAGTCAGGGCAGAGCAAAGTAGTTGTTCATGATGGGGAGAGCTAGAGTGGTCCAAAGCAGGGTGTTGAGGCCCCTGTGGGGTGAGGAGGGTATTAACAAGTGAGA